CCCTCTACAATTTCCCCAAATCAATTCGCAGTCCGGGTTTAAGTGACTCCAGAAAATATGTTCACTATTTGCGGAAAACACCTTGATATTTGGTTTAATTAACCCGCAGTAAATATCATATGATTTTTAAAATAGTCATATCTTTCAAACCATAACTCTGATTTTAACATATTATACATGAAATTGATTTTTTTGTAGAATCTGAATTGATGTTATTTTACCTGTTCACCATTTAAAAATGTTATTTAAGGCGTTGTCTTAATCAATGGTGCACAATATACCTCTCATTTTGTGTCAGTGTAGATCTGGATTCAAAATGAGCACCTTAGTAAAATTAGATTGGATATGGAAGGAATAATCTGTAACAACACATGTACGCGTCAGAAAAACCTTGCACTGGAAAAAGGAAAGCAGATTTCTCATCTTATGCCAAGAGAGGCGCTTTAGGATTGACCACATTCAAACGTGTTGTGATTGTGTGAGCACTGAGGCCATCGTTGGCGGAGGTGGGAGAAGGAGTGGCAACACAAATGGGATGCCGTGTTCGAATAAATAACATGGAATTATTGGGGTCTTGACTCACGGTTATTGGCTATGGGCATCTGTTACTTTTTTCGTCTGTTGCAACGCACACGCTCTTTTGCTAGTATTATATTAAGCGTGTTTGCTATTTCTCAGGTGCCTGAAAAAATGGCTCACCCTAGTCGATTTTGGGACGAGACCGGAGACGGGGATGACGTGAGGAGCAATAGCGACGAAGATCGATCTCGACCAGGCTGAGCTAGGACCACACCGGAGACGGTGACGACGCTGCGAGTGGCAGCGTCCCAAGCGGAGGTAGGGAAGTGGGTTGACCAGTGCTGTTGGGCGGGAGGTGGGGGAGGGGAAGAGTAGTCGTCGCCGTTGTCGGAGATAGGGGGCTTAGACGGATGGCCACGGCGGTGGCAAACACATCGATGGGGGAGGTTGAGGGGAGGGTAGGGTAGTAGCAAGCGGCTAGGGCAGGGCAGGGCAGGGGTGTGTGGGAGGAAGAAGAAGGCACGATGCCCGTTGGATGTCGATCGGACGTCCAAAAAAATTGACTGATGCAGATCTTTTTTCCAGGCACCTGAGGTAGCTACAGGCAGTCCCTATATAAAGCGTTTCTCCGTGACGCTATTAACAGTTTGTTTCTATGGTTTTCTTTTGCTAATGCTCAGCCACAGAGCGTAAGGGTCCATAGCGTAAGCTCCCTATATTAAGCTTAAGGCAATGTTCGGTGTCGCTCCGTTCCACAACTTTGGCGGAGTTGCAGTTTGCCCACACCGCAGATTTCAGGAATGGGTGATTACCGAACAAGGCCTAAGAATACGCATTTGGGCTTTAAAATTTCCAGTTTTGTACTATTTGATTGGAGTATTTATCTCAGCCAATTTGGTGGCTACCAATTACTTTTCCTATGAATGGATTTGACTATGTATGATGCATGGCGAATCATTGTAAAGACTTCAATCACGCGATCCATCATACCATAGATTAGCTTGTCGAGGCTTCCACCGGAGAGATACTCCAAACAAAGCAACCTGTTCTCGCCTCTGTTGCAATACCCCAACAGCTTCACCAGATTCTTATGCTTAATCGCCATGAGGAGCCTGGCTTCGTTGCCGAAGTCGGTCGCTCCGACTCCAACCATGCGGCGACTTAGTTTCTTTACAGCCACCTCCTTGTCTTCCAAGGTCCCCTAATGAATGAAACAACACAAGCCATCATGGTTATTATTGTGAAGGTTAAGTACTGGCTGGCAAGGTATACATGTTATGATTACCTTGTAGACAAGACCAAATGCACCTTTACCCAACAGATGTGAAAAGTTGTTGGTCGCACGCTTGAGCTGCCTCGGTGAAAATTGCCTTGGCCCCAAGCTGCCAAGCTGTATGCTTTGCCTGTCAGGGAAGAGGCAACGACGCCGGAGGAGAACGATGATCCCAGCCACCAAAACGATGCTGCAAGCAGCAATAATCAGCAGTGCATTCCTTGTTGCCTTCCTAGTTTGCCCTGCAAGCAGCAATAATCACCAGAATTCAGTTTGCATCAAGTGTGTGACAAGATAGCCCAAGAGGGCCAAAAACAAAGTTCCGTCTAATCTTATACCCCTGCTTGGGCAAAGGAAAAATAACAGTCTTTTATAGTCCTTGTAGACCTATAAATTACTTGCACAAGCCTACAGGTAGGAGCTATATAGACTAATAAACTCCCATGTACTCCCATATACTCCCTCCGTTCCAAAATAGATGACTCAACTTTATACTAACATTGTACTAAAGTTAATATAAAGTTGAGTCATCTATTTTAGAACGGAGGGAGTACTATGTTCCAAATCCATAGGAAAAGTCTGAACTTCTTAATTGAATGTGAAGTTATCCATATTTAGATTAAATAAGTCAAACAGAACGGCTCATATGCTATTCGGAGCATAAACATCACATAGTTATACATATATGACATCTTGAGTAACCATTCAATAGTCGTTTTTTCTTGACAACTTATTCATATTTAGATATGTATCTTCTAAATGTATGATGTTTTATTTTAATAAAGTGTCAAAACTCAACTATCACTATTAGGGAAAAGCCTAGCAGAGCGTGGGTTTTGGGTGTATCAGTAGCGCGGGTGCCCGCGCTACTGATACGGCGCCACAACTAACTTGTAGCAGTAGCGCGTGTTGACACACGCTACTGCTATACATGGTTAGCTGTAGCATGCGTTGCAGACAGCGCTACTGCTAATTATCTGTAGCGGGTCTTATACCCCGCGCTACTACTATTACTTTCAAAAACAAAAAAAATCTTGATCCCGTGCGTGTTGTCAATAGCAGCAGTGGTTCGATCTAGTGACGATTGGCGTCGCCGGAGGCATGAACGGACAGCGGAAGACCAGATCCGCCGATGGCTATTTGAGAGGGCCCGTTTCTATGGCAGAGCCAGGCCGCGGCGTGGGGCTCCTCTTCCCGACCATGCCAGATAGCTCCGGCTTGTCCATGGCGACGACCTGCACGGGCATGGACATGGGAGGGTGAGTCAAACCAGAGGGAGAGAGAGAAAAGGAAAACTGAGGGAGAGAGGAAGGTGATGGAGGGAGCAGCGGAGCTAGTCACCGGTGGTGAGGTGCTCCGGTGTGGTGGCGCGGCGCGGCGGCCTCCTAGACGTCGATGGAAGACCGGCGAGCTCCTAGACGCCGGTGGCGCGAGGTGGCGGCCTCTTTCGGCGCCACGGAGGAGGATGGGTGCATGGGCAAGAGGTCCATGTGAGAGCGTATGGAAAGTGAGAGGAGAGAGTGGCGGAAGAGAGGAGGGATTTGGGGGAGGAGATGGGGATTCGCCCGAGGATATGGCGACTTCACCTACCTTGTACTTAGTAGTAGCGAGGGGTATAAACCGCGCTACTACTATCAACTTAGTAGTTGCGCGGGTTTATACCCCTCGCTACTACTATGGCATGTCTCGGGGGACACGCTAGAGACCGCTTAGTAGTAGCGAGGGTTAAAAACCCGCGCTACTACTATCAACTTAGCGGTAGCGAGAGGTAAAAAATCGCGCTACTAGTAAGTAGCAGTAGCTAGGGGTATAAACCCTCGCTACTAGTAAGCGTCTGGCTATAAGCTTTTCCCTAGTAGTGTATAATTGTTCTTTGTAATACTCCTATTTATAGTAAAATAACTGTTTTTCAGAAAACATGTTAATACAAATTGTCAATGTTCCTTTAAAATATTACAATTATTAATTTATAAATTAAGAAATTTAATTGGCTAATCCGCTATACTCTTATCTTTATAGGAGAAAGGTTGTAGATAGAAGCAACTACTACTTGTGATACTATTGAGTGATAGTCATAAATGAAAACAAGATTAGCCGGCTTACATATTGAATCTCCTTGTTTATAACAATAAGCGCTTATGAACAAAGGCAATTTCCCCCTCCCCTCTCGCATCGCCCCCCGGCCCCTGCAGCGACCGGGGGGAACCCTAATCTGCCACCGCCGGCCCCCTGCCTTTCCTTCCCATGCCACCACATGACTCGGCTAGGCAAAGACTGACCGGAGCGACCGACAGTAGGGCCATCTCGTTCCCTCACATGCAGGGGCCGGCACGGCGCGACCTGAGCGGTGGCGTGCAGGTCCCATGGATGGTGTCGGTGCATTTGTTGTGCTTCAGGCGACATGGTGGATTGGTGGGTGGCGGGGCACATGGTGGCAGCTATGACAGCGGGGGTGTTTCTCGCCCAGATCCGCTCGACGACTGCCACTCGCGGCGAGAGCCGGGGGCAGCGTGACGGGAGGAACGCACCTGGTCACGGTGGCCGGCTTTGGCTGACAGGTGGCACGGTCGCGGCGGCTGTGGCCAGAGGCTACTGGTTCACCCTCTAGCGGCAATGGCTGATTGCGGTGGTGGTGCTTTGCCTTTTCTCGGGCGTTTGGGCCTCATCTAGGCATGGCGGAGGTGCGCGGCTGGGTGGGTGGGATGCGACGGTTGTAGTTTTGCAGGCAACGCAGGTTGGTGGTGGCGGCCTCCTTCTCCGGGGTTCGTACTGATGGAAACGTTCAGATCTAGGGTGCATACTCGGGTGGGCTAGATCGGGGACCGAGGTGGATCAGAGCGTGTGCTTCAGGTAGGTGAGGTTGGGCATGGCTTACGATGTGCTCGCGAGTTGTGCTCCTGCTCTCCTCTCGGGTAAGGTGGTTGGTGGTGGTGTTCGTGATATCCTTGCTCCGGTGCACACATCGGCGCTGGTGGCCATGAACATGGCGTCTTGCAAGCTTGTTTGGAAAAGGCTCGAGGCATTTGCTCGCCGACGGCAGTCATGGAGTCATGTCTCCCCTAGTCCACCAGGATTGGCTGGGGCTGCAGGCGTGGGTTCCTCATATGGTGGAGGCACCTATCTAGACACGGTGACTGATACCCGGCTAGGAGCAGATGGTGTGCCTCTGCCCTTCCTACTGTGGTTGAGTGCTTTGTGAAGTGAGCGGCGTACGGTGCCTCATGATAGGGATATTGGTGCAACAGCCCTTGATGATGGTCCGCATGATTGCTCTTGAGCGGGCATCATTGTGGCGGTGGTGGCTCCCCCTCCGGGTTGTGTGGGTGATGGGTGGTGTTGTGGCGGTGACTCAGGTGTGCTCCCTATCCTCCTAGGCAGTGGCGGAGCTACAGCAGCTTTGCTGGGCGGGCCAGTAGGAAGAACACTCCAATACTTTTGCACTCATGTCCGAGTCTACCCTCACTCCTCTGCTGCATTTGCCATGTGCTGGGTGGGCCACGGCCACTTTTAGCTACACGTAGCTCCGCCAGTGCTCCTAGGATCTGGATATGGGGATTTGACCTTGCTGCGTTCATCCTGGCAGCCTCGTGGTGGCACAGGTGACTTGTCGAGCGAAAGTTCCATGCCTCGGCGCTGACGACGGCGGCACCCGTTGGTGTCGCACTCTTCTTGAAGATGTCATTGTGGTTTTTATCTACACTCTGCGTTGCTCTCCCTCTTGGGGGCGTTGTCGTGTAGTTTAGATGTGCTAGGTCATTGCGTGGGTGTGTGCTCAGATCTTCCTGTGTTCTTTGCTAGTAGCGTAGTCGAGTGTGTTCTACGTGATTCGGTTATCATGGGATCGACTTTATAAGAGAGCTACCTCACCATCTTGTATCGTTCGGTCTTGTATTTTATTCTTTTGTTGCTTTATTTATCAAGCTGGGCGAAACTCTATTTTGAGAACAACAAGTGCTTATGGATTATTTTTTAAATGAATTTCTAGATTTTATATTGAATTCATTATACTAATTAAGTTTGTAAAATATCATTTACATCATAATCTGATTGTATTCTTTCTACACAATAATTATATAAATGACAATACACTGCGTCTACTTTTATCTTGGGCTCATATGATTTTCCAATTCTTAAATGTGGATTTGTAGTTCTCAAAATGATGTTATTATTTTGAAAATTATGATATTAGAGATTGTACTGAAGAATCAGCGTCAATTATTATCCTAGTCTAATTAAATTATATGGTTATTCTTATCCAAGACCAGGTACTTTCATTAGAATATCATGTACTTTGTATGTGCAGGAATATATCAAGCACTCATGGAACTCTTGTACATAGTATTATGTAATGAAAGCAACATGCATACCATCAAAATATAGCATCAATATGATCAAAGGGTGGTCCAGAGATAATTCTCTCTTCCATTATCTAACTTTTGTTTTATCAAAGGGGATTGTCTACCTTGCACCATGACCAATTGGCCTTGTTTTTGTTTGGTGTTTTTAGCTTCTAGTGCGTTGGTCTCTATATACGAGAAACCAAAATAACACGTACCGATTCCAAATAGATTGGAGCATGAATGTAGATCAACAGATCAACTCAATCGGTTGGGTTTTTCCTTCTCAAAGTTGGGTTAATTTGAACTCTGATGGTTCATTCTCGGAGGATGGACGTGCTGGATTGGGTATGGTGTTGCGTGATGGGCAGGGTTTGATCAGTTTTTTCCTTTTGCAAACAGCTTTTTTCATGCTGGGAAGATTTGGAAGCAATTGGGTGCGTGTATGGAATGTCTCTCGTTAGCACTGCTACGGACAGGTTTACCCATGGCAATTGAGATTGAGGCCTAGTTCTTTTGGCCTATTCTCCCAGAATCTTGATAATCAGGCCTTCCCCCAGCTTCTTCTAAAATCTTGAACCCATATTTTTTTTACAATCCTAGCTAGTTAGGATGTAAACAGCTAGGATTGTTAGAAAAATACGGGTTTAAGATTCTGAGAGAAACTGGGTCAAGGGTCGATTCTCAAGATTCTAAGGGAATCGGCCAAAAGAACTGGACATGATTCTCTTGTGGCAGTTAAGATGATTCAAGCAAGCGATGCGAACAGATCGCTGAATCCGTCGTTGGTGCAGGAGATCAAGTACATGACGAGTCTCCGTAGAATTAGTATATTACTCATGCTAGTCGTTTTCAAAATAAAGTTAGTGATGCTTTGGCAAACTATATGCAGGCTTGGGTCTGGCCCTCGGGTAGCCATTGATCTTAACGTCTTTGATTGTAATCCTGTTATGAATTGAGTAATACAAGTTTTACCCACGAAAACAAAGACCTTTGTTGTATGTAAAACAGTTAGAAACAGAATAGATGTTAATTGTTGGAAGAATGACATTCTTCCTCGATGAATGAATCTATAAACCTTTTATAACGAGAAAAGACGTTTAGAGATTTAAAAATGTGCTAAAATAATGTATTTTTAAATGAAGATTGTTATCTTTGTATGAAACTTAAAAGCTATAAGTATAGATATACCTTTGCGTTGAGGAAGAGTTGTGGTGAAGGACCAGGACATTATCTGATGGCGCTCGGAGTAGTCGCCTGTGCCTGCAGAAAACCCCACCGCCACCTCCGGCGGGAGCAAGGACATGGGATCGGGTAGTTGATAACTAACCTTAAAGGGACCAAGGGAACGGTTGTCATTCAACTGCAGGGAGGCATCCATCATCCCGGTGGTGCCATTAAAAGTGATGCACGCCGTCATGGAGCCATTCAGGCTGAAGTCGGGCAAGGCTGTTTCATTTTTGGAGGACGAGGCAGAGTTGATGTCGATGCCGATGTGGTCCGAGTTGTTGAACGTCTTGAACACGATGGCGACGAACCGGTCTACGCCCAAGGCGTTCCCGTCACCCTGGACAATGAGGCCAAGGTTGCCGCCGGTCGAGTTGACCGGCACTGTCGGCGGGAAGCTGGAGAGGAAGAAAGCCATGCCGTCCCCCCTTATCTCCCCTTGGATGGGCTTGATCGCGAAGGTGAACTGCGTGACGAAGCTCGTCAACTCGTGGGTGGCGCCGTCAAAGAAGGGCACAGGGTCGACGTACGACATCCGCCCCTTGAGATAGTGGATGCCACGCCTGTACGAGGTGTCGACCGTGAGGTCGACCAGGTTGTCTTGCTGGAGCGCGTCGCCCATGACCTGGATTCTTGAGCCGAAGGTGGATTTGTTGGAGAAGTCGAAGCTGAAGGAGAGAGGCGAGGCTGCTGCATCACGCGACAAGCAGAGGAGGAGGAAGCACCCAGCGCAAACGGAAATGAGGATGCTGCTGCGTGCACGCGAAGCCGCCGTCGCCATGATGGAGGTGGAAGCTCGATGGACGAGGGGCCACCTAGCTATATAGAGTGTTCTGAGCTGAACGTGGACTTGGTGCTCGGTGCTCTCATAAAGATGCAACACTTATGGCTGCATGCATGGACTCATGGAGGCCAGGGGTTTTCCTCGTTTTCAAAAAAAATGAAGACGCAGCACTTGAGGAAAGAATAAATCAAGGCCAAGGTGCACCAGTAGACGACGACTGGATAATCGTTAGTCGTCACTCAAGTTAACCGCAGCCTTCGCGTCACATTCACGTCCATTGTTGCATGGAGCTCGGAGGACCAACAAAAGTTATTTGTTACTCCCTTCATTTCTTTATATAAGGTGTATTTATTTTTTAATAAAATTCCAAAATGTAATGTGTCACAATTCTACAGTTACAGATAGTGTTTTTTACGGATTCAAGGCTATAGAGGAAATCAGAGGAGCGGTGTCACCACCCGATTGGGGGAGGGAGGGGGGGGGGGTTATGAATTAGGAGATGACACACACACACATTTGTAAGATTGTAGCCCAGTTCTATTTTTTTTTTGCGGGTGGATTGTAGCCCAGTTCAAGGCTAGACTTTTTTTGCGAGAAAGTTTAAGGCTAGACTTGACTTGATACTAATGTGCATTCAGTGGGAGAGAACGTTCTCGTGAACTAGAAGATTATTTATGTAGGCTTCTTCCGTAGGTTTATCATTTCCGTTAAAAAGCATTGAGCATCTGATATAGGCAAGTTGTTTGACCATGCAACTAGGAACTAGCAAGCGACTTCCACCAGCATGCGCATCTCGATGAGCACTTTCTCTAATTGTCTCCAACGACAATACGCCCTCTTTCACACGCGGATGCACTACTTAAAAGTAAATAAACAGTCAGTCAACAAGACTAATTTTTTTTTTCTGATCATCAGCCACTACTGCATAGATGCCTAATATAAGAGCATCTTGGCAACTTGGGTTAATTAGCAGGACTTAATTTTTTGTTGTGACCATCAGCCACTATCTCCCTCTTTTGGTGGCATATCTTCCAAAACTAAGTCGTGTACCATTCGATTCGCGACCCAGAGACCGATTCCAGCTTAATATACTTGAGCAATTTGGCAACTTGGGCTAGCACCTGCCAACTAGACCGGCCTTCTATTGTACGTCTCTAATAAAAAAACAGACCACAATATAAATCGCTAGCCATCATCAACTTATTTTAGAGCATATACAGCTATGCCATCTCATCACGAATGCCACATTAGGCTAGTCATAAATGGGAGTAACTTAGCTAGTAACATAGCGCATTTCGAAAAAATTATGTTTATGTGGCAAGTAATTAATAAGAGGTGGTAATATAATATATTACTGTAACATAATGTTTTCTAAAACAAGATGAGTCTACGAGCTAATAAATAAAGCAATCTATGATACTACTATTATGTTACTTTGCATTATGAAGGTAGTAACTAGACTAGTGTCATATGCATGACACTAGTCTAAGTTACTCCTCACTATGACTAGCCTTACTCAAATTACCTTTACCAATTAATTGCATGCAGCATGCCTTGGCTTATTTCTAACACGTTTCAACTAGCAACTGAGGACAAATATGATGTTTAGCAATTAATTGCATGTATCGGTTTTTTTCTAACCCTTTTCGACCCAGGGCACACATGATGTGGTCAAAGATTTGCAATATATTGTCAATTCAAATATTCATATTCATATAATCAAATCTCGCTGGAATATACTCCGCAACCAATTCTCACGGCAACGTGGGAGGGCGACCTGGCTTCTAGCTTTTGTCATATGTCTCCAATCAAAAAAATGCACATCATAATAACAAGCGTAGTCAAGTCTTGATTATCTAATTGGACATATGTGCGTTGTTACAGAGTAGAACAATATAAAGGCAATGAGGGCATCTCCAACGTAGACTCGCAAAATGGACACCGCATCTGTCCATGAATATGGAGAACCAGTCCACGAACACGGATACGGGAGCCGGTCATCCAACACTATTCGCGTACATTTCAAGCCCGGATTCAACTAACCGGATAAAATCCATCAAACACGGCCGAATTCATCAAAGTTTTGATAGAAAATAGCACACATCATCCATACATAGTATGCAAATAAGTCTAGTACTACATAGTTCAAATTTAACGAGAAATAGGTCAAATTCAACGAGATTAACCGGATGTTGATGGCGGACTGAGAGGCGAGGAGACGCTGACATGCCCCCATCTTTGTCATTTGGTATTTGTAGATGTATGCACGAACATTTGTGCTAGTCATCCAAATGACACAAGAGCGGATGCACCAAACCCAAATGCTGATGGCATGACAAGTCGACACCAATAAAATAACATTATAAACATCAAATAATTACATGGAATCTTCGCATAGACGAACTATGAGACATACAACTAAAAGTTGACACAACAAGTTTATGCATTACTCGTTTATTTAGTTATAACTAGTACACATGCCCGTGTGTTGCAACTAGAGAAAATTCCGGACTGCAAGTCTTCCGCACAGGATTTGTTGGTCACTCTAGTGTGCCGTCCTTACATGATTCCCCATTTGGCCAACCTAGAAATCACAAGCTCCTCCTCGTCCCCCTAAACACGTCCCTGATGTACCTTGTATCCAAAGTGGGTCATTGGATGGTTGTTTTAGCTCTTTTTTTGGCGGGGTAGTTGTTTTAGCTCTCAATCTAGAGTAAGGAGACCATGGTGAGCTCGCCACACGCTTGGGCAGTTCCACTCTTCACATTCATCGGTCAGTGTCATTGTCGATTGGGGGAAATACATGAGAACCTTCGCCATCTCATTTCAACTTTCACCACATCCCACATAAACCACAACTTCAAAATTGTAGTATTGTGGAGATTTTTAAACTTAGTATCGGTATATAGAGATGATACCAAGAAAATGCTATAGAAGGAGCTTTTTTCAGCAGCTATGACAACATGGCAGTAGGGTGATGACCTCATAATTAAAGTGACCGCCAAAAGAAAGTTTTTTTTACAACCAGAAGCAGCACGAATAGCACATATTCCTCCAAAAACTAAGGGGAACAATGCATCAAGCACACGCTGGAACCATTTCAAAGTAGGTAGGACTGTAATTTAATGATGTCAAACAGAAATGAAAACCCAACACATGAGGATGTTCGCTTATGTAAGAACAGAAGACATTGATAAACAAAAGAACAAACCATTTACATAAATTTCCTAATACATGCAGATGAATAGAAGTTGGAAGGCCCAACCATAATGTGCCAGGCTGGATACTGACGCTCAGCATGCAAGTCTTGAAATATCTAGAGCAAAATCTATAATATTGTAGTAAGCAAAAATAATAATAACAATTCAAATGTCCATAGAACTAAGTACTAACTATCAATTGTTACTAACTTATCAAGAGATAAAAGGCTATCAACACTGCAAACACTGCCAGAACTGAGTAGCAAGATCACTGGAGAAAGAAAAGATGGCTACTTGTGTGAGACCTCAGGCAAAGAAAAAAGAACCCATAGACCCAAATGCATCCAAGATGAAATTGAATGCAAAAAAACCACTTGCAGCCAAAATCATCAACCAGACAAAGGAATACTCATAATATGCTTCATGGAATAATCTGGAGCCTGGACATGTCTATCATTGATCCAGACCAATCTCAAATATGAATTTTTAGCTTATAAATACATGGTTGAATGATTATAGCTAGCACAACCATTTGGCCGGAGGCAGTTTAGTGAAATATAATTGTTCATTTGCACAAAAAGATCGTCTGCTCATGCACTCAATGTATAAATTGGCAAGTTTTCTTGTTTGGTGTGTGAGGAACTATGAATCGGTAAGTAGTTTGTGTATTCCATCTACTCGTCTAGTTGATAAGGAATTATGTGTAGTCATTTTGCTACAATACACATGCAATGCATAGCCTCATGATTCCAGTCGAGTTTGAAAGCTCTATGGTAGTCAATCTAAGAGAATTTAAATGCAACTTAATTTTACAGTTTAAAACCTCATGAAGTTCACTTACATGTATGTGGTGAACTTGCCATGTAAAATTCCAAAGAAAAAATTAACCTTGTAAATCTCTAATACTTACATGTATGTGGTGAAGGTCAGGCATTGTAAGAACCAACCACAAAACTGGTAAGCGGATACAGAAGTTGCTGCAAATTTTCCATAAATGACGGTCACACCAACTTACTTACATGGCATAGACATCTAAACAAAGGAGCTGCTCCGAGGTGACAGGTGAAGCACTTGATAACACGAAACTTTTAGTATCGACTAAGCTAGCTCTGAAGACCGCATTAAACTAAACACCAAACATGGCTGCTATGGTTGAACATGACAGAAACAAAACGAAAATATGCAAGGCGATCAGGTTCTTATTCTCACCCC